GTGTAGCCATCTGACTGCATTCTGGCCAATGGGCTGTGATGGGATGATGGGGCCACTTCCAGACCTGGACCAACACACCTCCCAGGCATGATGGCCTCCTAGCATGGAAACAACTAGGATGCTTTTGCAAGTCACAGGTTTCAGGTGGTGAAACCAAGAAACAGGAAGATTCTGGGAGACCAACTGCCTGCCAATCACAAGTGTTCTTTTTTGACTTTATATGAAAGACAAATACATTCTTGTGTCAAGATCCTGAGATTTGGGGGTTATTCCAGCAGTTCACTTACCCTAATACAAAAAGCTAAGCTCACTGGAGAATAAACATGAAAGTGATTTCCCCAATAACTATGCCTATCACTTCCCACCTTCCCTTTGAGTAGCTGCTGGCTTGGTGATTTTCCCAGGGTCCAGAGTGTGTGCCACTCTTAGTTATTCTAACAGTCTCACTAAGGATGTCTCCAATCCTTAATTCTGTTCCCTCACATCTGGATCAAAGCTCTTTCGTGCTGCTCCCCTAGCACTGTGGCCCTCGGGGATTGGGGTGTGCTGGCGTAGATGGGGGTTGCTTCTCCTAGACTCTTCCCTGAACTGCATCCTGGGCACTGGGGTGGGAAGGAGGCAGAGGGGAAATGCAGACATTTCTTTGCTTGCCAGGCAAGGTTGCAGTTCCCTCCCTGGTGAATGGTGTTGTGAACTGGAGCAGGGGCACCCTCCCAACCAGCTCCTCTGGCTACTGGTGATCTGTTGTGAGTTCTGACCTCAAATCTCAGCTCACTTCTTGCAGGTGGCATCTTGCCTGTCTGCCCTGCACTATGAGAATTCTAGAAAGTCTGATGGTCCATGTCACCCTCTTTTCTCCATCAGTGCCCAGGCCTGTGGGCCCACAGAGGCTTCACATTCTGCTCCTCTTGAGAACTGGAGCTTATGGCAGGTGTGGCTGGCCCCACTCTCTGCTTGGCAGAACCCCATTTGCCATCAGTCCTCAATTAGATTTTCCTTGCCTAGTAACCATGAAAAGCAAATCTTGTGTGTAAGCAACTGTCCAAGCAAGACACAAACGCCAGTCACCCTTTCTCTCAGCCTCCCTTAACTTTACAAGTGGTTTTCCTGCATGTTCCCACAGCTTCAGGGAGGAGACCCTCACCTCTGCCCAAAGCAATTGCTCCCACCTCTCAGTACGCTTTATATACTGACCATGTCGGGGAAGCAGTGGTAGGCCACAGCCACAAGACAACAGAAGTCCCACTGGCACAAAAGCCCCCTTATGACAGTGTTTTCTCTGTGTCTTGCTCAGCGGCTGGATGTGCAGGTTCTCAGATGCTTTTGGAACCAGAGGTGTATGCTGTATCAAATTCCAAGACTTCCCAGCTCAGAGGGGAAAAATGCTAGAATCTGTAGGAAGCCCCAGATGGCCAGATGCCTGTGTTGGAGGGCAATTTTAGTGTGTGGCTTTGGAAGCCAGATGGCCTGGTCTCAAGCTCCATTCCTATCTAGCTGTGCTGGCTGAAAGGCTGGGGGTGGGCAACAGGGCCTGCACTTTCTGGCCCAGAACTGGCAGATCTCTCCACTAGATGGCACTCACAGTATAATGTTTCCTCATTTTAATTCTACTTTGAAAATATTGTCATTTTTTATACCGTTGAAGAGCACAAATAGAACTATGGCTGAAAACTTACGTAGCTGATTCTACGCGTGACCATCCTTGGAATTCTGCCCCATTTCCAAGAGTTGCCAAGTTTTCTCTCCTCTTGGGGGTGCTGGCTGGAGAGTGAGGGACCATTGTGGTGTGACTGGTGCCACAGGCCAGCACACACATAGCCTGGAAATGACCCCGGGTTTGTCCTCCTTCCTCATATCCTGCCCTGATTTTCCAGCCGAGGCCCAGATCCCAGGCGGGGCTGTTAGGCTCCTTCCCACGCCTGTTAGTTCACTGCTCTCAGAGCCTGCCACCCAGCAACCTCGGAACTGTAGGAGAAGCCCTTGTCCCCCCAGCTGCACTCGCCGCCCCTCACCCACCCAGCCTGAATTTCCTCTTGGTCTTTGCACATTTCCCCTGGGGCTGTGCTTGGTGCACACTGGCATGGCCCACTTGGTGCTACTTCCTGCTCCTGCCCCCAGGTAACTGTGCTCAGCATCGTGAGGATAAGTCCTTATTGTGCCTTGAGCTCAGGAGGAAAATGTCCCCAGACTCCTTAAGGGCAGAAATTGACCCCTGCTCATCTCAGTGCCCCGCAAGGCTGGCTCAAAGCTGAGGTCACACTACAGGTTTGCTGAGTTGGACGTGAATGGGTTTCTTGGCCTTCCTGTGACTGCATGTTGCTGTGGTTTAAGGTGGGTTCATCTAATCTTCTTCTTATTCATTTTTAGCCCCAACATGGCATACAGCTGAAGCCTCAGTCAGAAACTGCTGTAACAGGAAGCCCACCCTTCTGGGGTCAGGCTGACCTGGGAGGGTCCAGGCTCCCCTACCTCCCAGCTGTTTGGCCTCGAAAGATTCACCTTACCCCTCTGGCCTGACACCTTCATGGGCTACGAAGGACGGGGAGCTTTGCCAGCTGCAGCCAGAACCAAGCATGAGCTTCGAGTGCAGCCTCCCAGGTCCCATCTGAGCAGGTTGATAGGAAGCACCCCAAGTCCAGAGCCCCCAGTGGGAGGGGAGCAGAGGGGACCACTCTTGGGCGCCGGGCAGCACTGGCATTGTGCTCTGCTCTGCAGATAGCCGCATCGCACTCCGCAAAGGCTGACTAGACCGCTCACCGCCCACCACCCATCCTGCTCTCCCTGAGCTGCTCAGCAGCTGCACGAAGGCTGGAGGGCAGAGATGGGCAGCTCTGAGGATCTGTAGGAACCTGATGAGCAGGCAGGCTACTGTTGCTGTGCTTGAGACAAAGGAGTTCAGGAACTTTCCTTCCTGTAACAAAGTCCTTAGACGTCCCCAGCCCAGGTAGGGAAAATGCTAGAATCTGTAGGGGTCCTCAGATGGCCAGGTGCCTGCGTTAGAGGGCAAGGGAAGTGTGTAGCTAAAAGCCAGAATGTCTGGGCTCAAGCCCCAACTCCGCCACTAGCTGTGTGTCTCGCTGGGGATTCTTTCTAATCCCCATGGTCTGTTTTTGTGCAATAGGTGCGACGACATTCCCTATCTTAGAGGGATGCTGGGAGTATTGTGGGAGGCAGAATAATGGTCCTCAAAGACATCCATCTTCTAATTTCTGGAAGCTTGTGACTATGTTACCTTATATGGCAAAGGGTCTTCTCCTACTGCCCCCCATACCCCCAACACCACTGGCAAGAGTCAAATAAATTCTTGTAAATAGCTCTGACCCAGATAATGAACTTACACACAGGTGATGTCCCTTATCTGGTCTATGGGGCACACACTCAGTGCCTTTCTGAATTGATGACTGGAGTGTGTTGACCTCTACCTTCTAGTTCTGGCCTTGACTCATTACCCCTCTCCCTGGGGCCAGGGGCCGCACCCCTGCCCTAGATGGCAGGGCCCTGCCTACCTCACTATTTGCATTTCTTCTCTATCTTAACAGCTGAGACCTTTTCTCCTGGTTCCACAGTCAACCTCTGCTTTCTACTCCATACCCCGGGATCCCTTTGTTACCACCTTCTGATGTGCAGTTTTACTACAACGATTCTTGCATTAGATGAAAAGGAATACCCAAGTGAAACCACAGGTACTTGAATTTTGCACAGGGGCATACAGTTGGAAAGGGTGTTTCTGCCCTTCAACTTCAGCCTGTGCCCCTGGGAACTCTAGTATGGATAGGACAAAGGTAGACATGCCCCTTTCCCAGGCAGGATCTACTCATACCTGTTCCCAAAGAGCCTCTGCTCGTGCCCTGAGCCTAGGGTGCTACCTCAGTGGACAGCCAATAGATCATTTCTCAGGATGGCTGGGCTGGCTTTACTGCTTTGCGACCAGTCATAGACTTACTTAGTTCACAGGGCCCCAGTGAGGCCCTAGCACTCTCAGTTCATAACCACCGCTTCTCAGGATGTCTAAATTCAGCTGACACTCTTGGTGCCCTACTCAGATCCCTCAGCACACACTGTTCCCATCACACTGCAGTGGTCTGCTTCCTCAAGCACCTGCAACTGTCCCTGGAGGCTGTCTCTGTCTGCAGAGTTTGGTCCATGTGAGAGGGTAGGCCAGAAATGTCAGTTACTCCCCAGAAAGCAGGTCTCAAGGACTGGGTGGTCGGAGTGGGTGGGTAGAGCCCCAGCCTCACTTCTTGGATGAGACCCCTCTGAGGCCTGTTCTGCACTGTGTCCAGAAGCCCCTGCGGGAACTGAGCCAGGGTGCCTGCAGCAGCAGTCCACTCACTAGCACGCCCTGGCTGACTTTCCTCCCTTCTTTGACTCCCTTCGTCATGCCAGATCCTTGTCTCAGGCTCTGCTTCTGGGGGAGCCCAAGCTAAAGAAAACACTGGCTGACAGCAGAGCCGGCCCTGCCATGTACGTTGGCTTCTCTGCAAGGCACTTTTACTTAGTTCGTTAGCAACGACATTGTCAACTTGGAAGTTTAAAATATTGTTTTGTAACTGCTAACGTGACAGTAGAGCAGTTCTTTAGGAAAATTATTCCCCTTCCTCCTGCCACATCCCAATTCTCTGCCTTGAAATTTACAATCATCCATACTTAAATATTCTCAATCTGTGCTAGTGTTTTTCCCTGGCTTTATTTCCAGGTATTGTGTTTAGACTTTCACCCTGAGATGTTCCCATTGACTAGTTTCTTTCCTTGCATTTATCGTGAATTTAGAAATCCTCATTTCACATTACCCAAAAGCTCATTGTCCAGATAATTGATGGGACTTTCTAATTTCTTGCCCATGTGAGTATCCTGTCGATTTGGCCCACATTTCCGAGTCATGCCTGGAGACTGTGCTGTGGCTCCTGTGGGAGGAGCGTCATGAAGGTCCGCCCTTCCCAGGCCAGGGGCATGGAGACACCCCCACCAGGGCAGCAGAGCTGGAAGGTGCTCAGGCCTACCTGGACTGATCTCAAAGAGGTGCTTCCCTGGGTCCTCGGGGCCAGGAGGAAGTTCGGTCACCTGTGTCCCTTGTAGAGAAATAAATCCCTAAAAAGGAGGCAAACACAAACACAAGGAGCATGAGATGATGGGGAGGGGACTGCTGTCGTCAGGGTCCCCAGAGAGGAGAGGTTAGGACCTAGGGCCTTCCAGGCCCTGGCTGGGAAGGCTGGGCCTCAGCGAGGGGCACACACCTCCTCTCCCAGGCAGAAATGAGGCCTACTCAGGGTCCCAGGTGGATTAAGGTGGGCACTGTTGTCTGCATACATGCTTGGAGGAGCCCACAGGCAGAGGGAACTCTGGAGCAGGGAGGGAGGCTCCCACCACTGGGAGTGCCTGATCCAGTGTGCCACCTGTGGCCTTTCTGGGCCAGCAGGGTTTTAGGCTGGAAAGGGGTCAGGGAGAAGCCTGGTGCTGTGGCTACTGAGGCAACATGGGGGAAAGGATCAACAGATCTGTGTGCATCCAGTCCTGCCACCTCTTGGCTAGGTGAGATTTCATTTATTTACCTATGAGGTAGGAGTCAGCTACCATGCGTACGGTACCCTGCTACAGAGAGTGCCAGGTGCCTGGGATGCATGTGTATGCATGACAAAGGGCGGCTCCACCTGCTCTCTAGTGCTGAGGTCTGGCAGCTGGGCTGAAAGATGTAGAAAAAGAGCATGGGCTGTGGGGATCGGGAGGCTAGCTTTGAGTCCCAGCCTTGCACTTCCAGGTTGTGTGATCTCAGGCAACCCGCTCAATGTCTCTGAACCTGTTTCCATGTCTGCACAATGGGACACTAAGTCACACGTCTCAGGAGGGTTGAGATGCCAGATTCCCGTGTGGTAAGTCCTACTCAAGAGAATGAGGTGTTACAACCGCTGTGACTGAGCCTTCCCCAACCTCCAGGTTAGGCAGGGCCTCCTTTATCCTCCTTCTGTATGTCAGTGACTGTGAGCTCTGCTGAGGTCTTTATTTCATTCTGCTTGGTTTTGCTCAACTCAGACTTGGTATGGCTTGACTACACATTTTTGGTCCTCTCAATGGGAAACCCATTTTGAATTCCATTGCTGCGACCAACTGCCTGGGTTCAAATCGTGGCTCAGCTACAGAAACATTGTTCAACCTGTCTGTGCCCCAGTTTCCTTATCTGTGAAACAGGAATAATAAAGTACTTTGTGGGGATGTTTGGAGCATCAAATGAATTAGTACTTGGAAGTTCTTAGAGCAGTGCCTGGTACACAGTTCTCACTGTGTAAGTGTTTGCTCAATAAATGCCTGCTATTATTGTATGTCAGGGCTCCACACCTAGTGGGTCACTGTATCCCTGTGTCTGCATTTACCCAGGTGAGGGGCAAAGTCACCTGCTGCATCCAGGTCGCCTCCTGCCCCAACCCCCATGTAAACTCACAGAGTACACCCCCCCCCCAGTATTTTCCAGGCAAATCCTGGCTTTCACAGGGTGATGGGAGCCTCCCACCTGCTGCTAGAATCTTGTGCCGCAAGGACACATGGAAATGCCTCTTCTCATTTAAGCAATGTTAATGCGGAAAGGCAGAACGTCGTCCTTACCCGCAGATGCTTGCTTTAGAGGAATTACAGCAATAAACCAGAGAACCAGCTGGTAATCTTTGTAACTGAATTAACGGTTACTTTCTTGCTAGAGAACTTGGAGCTACTGGAAATAAATTAGGATCTCAGCCCCAGGATGGAGAAATGTGCTCATTAAAGGGCATGGGTGAGATCCATCACTAGCTAATGGGATGCTTCTTGGGCGTTTGCTGTTTCAGTAACAGAGTCCCTGTGTCATTCTGGATACTTTGCTGTTTTTTTTCTGTGTCCTAAAATCTGTCATCCATACAAGGAGAGTAACAATACTGACATTGACATTGCTTTCTACTACAGCTAAATGGAAACGCAGTAATAGCTTCTGCTTATGAAGACTGTACTATATTCCTGGCTCTTTGCCTAAATTATTGGATTTAATGTAGAGGCCCCAGGGGGTAGGTACTACCATTCCTGTCTTCCCAGAAAAGCAGATGGAAGTCAGGAAGGTGATGCAACCAGCCTTGTGCCCACCGCCCACAAGGGTGTGCTGGAGACATCGGCTCAGGTGTGCCCAATGCTGGAGCCGCAGGCTTTACTCTTTGCTTCCCTACCTTTATCATGGCAGCCACCAACTGACTTTGTTTGCAAGAAGCCACAGTGGAGAGCCAGGCTCTGACTGTGGGATCCACTGCTCACTTCTCAGGGGAATCTCAATGTGCTCCCCACCACTGCAGGGGCCCTAGCACTGTCCCTCGGCTGCCCAGATTCCTCTGCCTCCCACAGGTCAAGAATGTGGCTCCGGGACTGGGTGGGGGCTGGGTGCCTGGGGAGCAGAGGCTGTCTGCTCTCCAGGCCCTGGTATGACGTTTGCTAAGACTGTGATGAAAAGACGTGAATGGAGTCAGAATATAGCATTAGCTGAGACACTCAGGGTAGATCTCAACATTGAACATGCTTTGGAGTCACCCCAGGGCTTGTTAAAACACAAGCCTGGTGTTTTGGTGGTGTCTAATAATGGGGTCTCTGAAAACTATAAAGTACCCTGATTTGGAGTGTTTGCTAACTTCAGTGATATAAATACCCTCCCCCTCCATGGCCCATTTTATGACGTCATTGCATGTGGAACTGAGAAGAGATGTGCCATAGTGTTTGTACCACATGGATGCAATGCACATCAGTAACCTCCAGAGCTTAAGACATAGTACATGAAGTCATAGTATATTAAGTTAGGAAATGATATATTTTGAGTACTTTTTAACCTTTGTTTTTACTATAACTCATTTATTGGTAGTTTTTTGTGATTTAATTTTTTTTGTTGTTGTTTTGTTTGTTTTGTTTTGCTTTTTTGGGTATTGCTCTGTAGCCCAGGCTGGAATGCAGTGTTGCGATCATGGCTCACTGCAGCCTCGACCTATTGGGCTCCAGTGATCCTCCTACCTCAACCTCTAATTGGGACCATAGGTGTATGCCACCATGCCCAGCTACTTTTTGCTATTTTTAAATTTTCAGTAGAAATGGGGTCTCCCTATCTTGCCCATGCTGGTCTCGAACTCTGGGCTCAAGCAATCTCCTTGCCTCGGCCTCCCAAAGTGTTGGGATTACAGGCGTGAGTCACACCACCCAGCCTGATTTAATTTCTAATAGTGTAAGTGTTCAATCAGAATAGTGCTGGACCCCACTCTCGAGTTTCTGACCCTATAGGTCTGGGGAAAGTAGGACCATTTGCATTTCCAACCATTTTTCTGATGCTGCGAGCCCTGGGGAATACACTTTGAGAACCACTAGTCTAGGGACTCTAAGGGAAGGTGGCCAGAGGATGATGCCTTTTTCATGAACTCACTCAGCACCTTGGTTTTCTCACCTGGAAAATGAGGACAATAATAGTATCTGCTTCATGAGGCTGTTGTGAGGATTAAATGATTCGATATCTGGCCCCAGTGGCCTTTGAGAGCCTGGTTTTTGCCAAGATTCTGTGCTTTAGACACATGTAGGTTACAAGAACCAGTACCTGCTTCTAGCACCACAGACAGTGCCCTCAACTATGAGGGTCCTGGGAATTCTTTGAGGAGCACAAAGTGAGTGTCAGCACTTTGCCAGCTGACCTTCCTACTATAGTGCCAGGTCAGGGCTTAACTATTTGTATCTGGGAAGGAACCAGGCACACAGTTTGCACCTAGAACTGCACAGTTTGCAGACAGACACCTGGCTACAGAAACAGTGTGCAAACTCCAGGCACATGATAGATTTCCACAAATGTTGGGCCCTTTCCCCCTTCCCCATGTGTCCGAGCTCATGTTAATTTCTCTCTTAGGGCATTGCTCAGCCTATGTATCTAAGTTCCTCCTGAGAGGCTGCAGCTGACTTAATGCATCTCTAGCTCCATACAAATGCAGCCCATTGGTGTAAGTAGCTAATGGACAAAGTATGTGCCATTCTGTCTGCATCTAGGAGGGCTCAGTGTTTGCAAGTTTTAGACATTGCAAAATTGCTTTCAAAAAGTCTTTATCAAATTATGTTCCATCAAAAGTGTATGAGAATGCCGATTTCTGTATGCTCTTCCCATTGCATGGTCATTAAGTACTGACTGTCCTTTTAAATGGAATCTTATAATATATTTATTGACCATTTGTATTTCTTCTATTAATTCCTTGTTAACATCCCTTACCCACTTTTCTATTGGGTTGTCTTTTATTTTAACAATATATTTTATTTAACATATTTATCTGTATTGGATAACCCAATATGTCAAAAAAATCAGCATTTCAACAAGTAATCAATATAAAATTGTTAGTGAAATATTTTACATCTTTTATAGTAAATCTTTGGGATCTACTTACAGCATATCAGATTTACATTCCAAGGTTTTATCAAATATATGTGATCTATATTTCCATCTTATCAAATTTGAAGTAGATTCTTGTACCAAAATTGTTTCAGATATACTGTAGTAGGTAGAATAATGGCTCCCCAAAAGATATGCTTGTCCTAATCTCTGGAACATGTGAATATGTTATATTACATGATAAGCATTTAATTAAGGTTGCAGATAGAATTAAGGTTGCTAACCATCTGACCTTAAATCTAGTAGTATTAGAACTCCAACTTAATTATTTTATTTCAAAATTATCTGACTATTCTAGGCCCTTTAAATTTGTATATGAATTTTAGAATCAGTTGGTCAATTTCTATTAATAGAAAAATGCCTACTGGGATTGTGATTGGGATTGCATAGATAAATTTGGGGAGAATTGACATCCTAACAATAATAAGTCTTCTGACCAATGAACATAGTATAACTCCTCATTTATTTAGAGCTTTCATTTTCCCCAACAATAATAACTCATTTTTTAGTTCTAGTAGCTTTTTGCAGGCTTCATCAGATTTTTGACATAAACAATTATGTTGGGTATGGATACAGTTTTACTTCTTCCTTTCCAATCTGAACAACTTTCATTTCTTTTTCTTGCCTTCTTATACCAGGCAGGACTCCATGAAAGTGTTTTATGGAAGTGGCGAGA